GGTTTAATCCTTATTTCGTATTAAAGTATACTGCTTATCGTTTATATCTCGTTAATTTTTTACGAGATGGTAGTTTGGAAATTTCATTTGCTCGAGTTCTCGACGTTCGAAGCAAATTTATGAAAATAGACAAACTTTTTTTCGTACGATTAGATGATATATCGGATATTGTCGGATTATTTTAAGTGTTTTCCCAAAAAGAACGATGGTTTCTTTCTTTTTTATCAATTTAAATTTTTAAAATTATATTTTTAAAAAATAAGACGTTAGGATTTAGACGTTTCGATATCGATGGGAATGACGACTAGAGAATAATATGGTCGAAAAAATGGAAAAGCGAACGTAAAAGATATCAATTCCGAGCGAAACGTCATCGTCTTATTATTCGTTTCTCGGAACATTAACCGTAAACGTGGTTGGCACGATCGTTACTTTCGTGAAAGGATCGGACGATACGGGAACGTTGAATCCCGATCTCATTTCGCCGTCTTTTCAACTCCTATTATCTTGTCGACGAGAAGAACAATAGAGAGACAAAAAAATTGCTCCAGGCTGTAATACCGATAAATTTCGATACAGTTTAAACTTCTCTGAATCTTAGACGAGGCGTCGAGTTTACGAACACCGAGTCGAAGAAAAGAAGAAGGATAATCTAATTCTTTTTTATCTAGGAATAAATAAGGTCTATCTTTAATGTATAATTGATAGTAGTATTATTAAAGCGATAAAAAATTTGAGATTTTAAACAATTTAAACTCGGGAAAAATTGTATCGCGTATCGCGAACAACGCGATATTTAAGTAATAAACGGATACGATAAAAATACGTACATAAATACGTACATGATAGAAATTTTCGTAAAATTTGATCGTAATGAAATTTGAATTGGACGAAAAGAAGAATAAAGAAAGAAAGGAAAAAGTAAATACGCTCTAGTTAAATTAGCGTGACCATTCCATTATGGCCGATGAATATTTTAATAGCGACTTTCTTGTTCGCGTAATTTTCTCGACGATACCGGTTCTCGAATCGTTGTCCATCGTAGAATTCGAATAATACGCTCGTACGATTCGTGTCTCCTTTCTCCCATAAAGAGAGTTAACGTGACGGTTGGCGAATAAAACCTCGTTCGATTTTAACAGCACCATCAAAACTTACGTTTCCAGCTTACGTTCGTACTTTCCTCTATCCGCATCGACTAAAACTATGTTCTTTTAACTTGGAATTTGGTCTCTAGGAAATATCGATTTATCGTTGCGATCCATTATTCTTCGATAAAATATATTTCTTTATAAATATATTTAGAATTTTCCAAAGATACAGTACGGAAGAGAACGCGTTCATCGAAATTTTGATCGTGTTTCGTAAGCTTTTATCTATGAAAAAAAATTAAAGTTTTGAGCGAAAAATTAAAAACTACAAGTAAGCACGTACGCGTGACAAATACATCCGTAAGGATGAAATTTTGTAATAATAAAAAGTCAAAACGAGAGCGAGAGTAAAACATTTATACGCGGAAATATCCGATTTAAATCGATCGATCTCCGTGTACATATTTTAAATCGTACCATCGTATCGTAAATTTGAAAATTCTTAAATAATGAAAAAAGAAAAACTTATTACGAAAATAAAGAAAGTCTGATTTATTTGAAAATAATTACATAATTTTTAACGTAACGCGTAGAACGCGTTTATGCAAGCAATAGTAACAAGTTATACATACTATATGTATAAATCACGTATGATACGTATGTATCGCATAATATTACAAATTAAGCTTCAAATTTGTTGGAAACTTGATATAAAGTTTTATCATGCATACGTAACGTGATTCTCGTTCAACAAAAAGCAATAATCCTTGTTAAATTTTAACGAAGAATTAGAATAATATGTTTCTACTAAATCATATTCTCGTCATTTCGTTGTAACGAAATGTTGCGTTGCGTAAATTCTTTTATATATAATATAGATATCGATTTTTAAAAAGAACCTTCGATATTTCTTCTATTTTGAATATACCGATTCGACGATTCTTTATTTATATCGAAAACATATATTCAACACGTTGGATTATTTATCATTGGAAGAGGAATTAAAAGATTTTGCGTAATCTCGTTTGATCTACCGGTATCGATTTTATTTCTTTTAATATAATAATTTAGGAAAAATCGTAAAGACGAATCGAGACTCTTTGCGATAACGACGAAAAGTATATCGTGTATCGGAGTGGCATCGTAATCGATAATTTTGCTAAGCGAGATCGAATTTACATTTTTACGTTCGAATTGGTTCAAATTTTTTCGTAAGAAAAATAAATAAGACGAAAAAACAAGGATATCTATTAATATAATATGTACAACAAATTGGAATAATTTCGGGTTATTTCGATTATGTTACGAATTGAAATCTGGATGCGAAATCAATGGTTGTCACAATTACGTGATTGTTAAATCGATATTTGCCCTAGGCTCAAGTGCAAATGCGACAATAATCCCAGATGCGATATATAATTATGGCTTAGGTGGCACGTTATTACAGATATAGGGTTGCACGCGACTCTTGCGGCCCATTCTCTCCGGTGCCCGTTATCTTCTCCTCTCGGTACATGTGCTCGGCACACCGAGTAATGCGAGCCTCGTATGTAAATCCCATTCTGATTAACATCCACGTGTTACCAACACAGAGAACCCTTACATCATCTACTAGTCGGTATCCTGCTTGCCCCTAAACCCTCTTAACTGCCGCGTCGCACCTATGCCCTTTCCAACTTGGCCTCTGTCGCGTCTGCCGATATTAATTTCCCTTTCTTCGTCATATCCGCATTCACATCCCAATACGAGCCTATATTCACTTTTTCATCTACGCGATTACAATTCTTTTAAAAAGTATGTATGGTACGTATACATGGTATGAATAGCTGATCGTTTCTCCTCATTTCCTTCAAATTTGTGATAATAATTTAGGGAGAAAAAAGAACGTTGAACGATTTGCGAATTTCCAAAAACGATCTAGTATGTAGCGACGTAATATATGGAGAGACGTTGATTCGATGTATTAATATAACGATAGTAGAGTAACGTGAAAATCCTTTCGTGATTATATTTACGTCAAGATGGAAAGAGAGAAGGGTAAATTTCCGCATTAGAAACTTGCTCTTAATCCAATTTCCAACGGCTATTTAACAGATATTTGAATACTCTATCATCATAATAACCCGTGAATAAATAACTCCTATCCACAATATACGCAATTTGGTTTATAGTGGCAGATATGATTTTCAGACATTGTTGCGACAGACAAGATTCGTCTTTCTCCGAGGAACAAATATTAAGATTAACAGAAAAACGAAATAAGATAGAATAAAAAAACTTCGTATCGATTTTTCTTTTCTTTTATCTTGCAATACGGAAATTTCGTAAAAGATAAAAATATCGAACCGTCAATTTTGAAACGTTGTCGAAACATTTTCCCGCGTTATGGAATAGAAAAAATAATTATGAAAAATTTATTGATCGCAAATATAGAAAATTTAAAGAGGCTAAACGGTGCATTCTAGCACATCTGAGAATCCTTCTGGGAATCTAGCTCATATTTTTCCAAATGAATTTCGCTTGTCACGGAAGAAATACGTTTCCTATTTCAAGCGGTTCGTGTACGAGGTTAGCCCAGTCGAGTTGAGAATGGAACGGTGTGAAAATGCGAAGGAAGGAGCGAACGAAGGAATACAGTGAGAAGAGAAAACGCGTTCACCGCGGGTAGTAAAGTTTCGGCGTGTGCTGTGTGCTCTTTAAAGCATCGCAAATCTCCGCCAGATTCTCTCTTTCTCCCTTTCACGATGCTTCGCGAATTCTTCTCGAAAATGAACTTATTCCATTAACATCGTCGCGCGAAATTATAGATAACGCGACAAATGTTGGAGAATTTCACGAATCATCGTCGTGTTTCTAACGTGATAAAAATTTTTAAAAACATTGTTATTTATCGAGGATAAAGTAACAATTGTATTGTATTTGCTTGTATCGAGATCTATCTATCTATCTATCTTTGAACGAACGAAATTATAATGATAAATAAATGCGAAGAATTACGTTGATATTCGTCGTAACTTTGGTTGTAATTGTAATTTCTCGACTTAAGAGAAGGTTCGAGCCGAGGAGAAAACGTAAGTAGTACAAGAGTGACGAGAAACGTCTTATCTGCTGGCCATGAACCGTGACTGTGCAATATCTGGGCTCAAACTGACGTAAGTTAACCCAAGTTTGTGTCTGAAGGCAGGCTCGTTTCGAGCTGTGCTATACTCATTTTAAGTTTATACGGCTTAACATCCTTTCCCCCTTCCAAAACCGTCGTTTCTCTATGTATTCTATATTAAATAATAGAGATTCTTATTCGTCGAAAAATGGAATTAAGCAAGAAATTGAATTAATATTTATCCAAATATAATCGCATAATACAAATACCGTGAATTTTCTACCTATTTAAACTCTTCTCTTTCGCATCTTCTCTTTCGTGTCATACCGATATGAAAAATAAAAATAATCGTTAAATCCCTTAATTCGCGAGAAATTTTGCGATATTGCCAATTGATTTCGTACAAACGACTTTCCGTTTCGGTAACCGTTTCGCGATTACTGGATCGCGAATTAATGAAATTTGCTTACGCCCCAGTTTTCCACGCGCAATGTTCGTTGATCGTTCATGCGAGAACCGTAGCTTTCCGTTCTTCTTTAAACCTTTCGAGCTAAAACTTATCAAATAGAATCGATTCTTACGAGTGGATCGTCCAAAATTAGCGGATTATCCATTCATACGCGTACCAATGTGCGTGTAGAGAATTATCTACGTAAAATAAAGGAACGCGATATAAAAATATGGTAGAAGGTGATTTCCATTCGATCATCGGAATCTAACCATGCAATGTAATTTTGAGGAGATGAAAAGGAAGGCGAAAAAGGATACACGTGTGAGAGATTAAGAGACATGGTTAGTGGAAAATTTACCTTGTAGATAGAAAGATTTGCAACGACGCAAGTGAGCACGGCTTCCCTGCCCATCGGGATCGTCACGTTTGTTATTGGCACGGTAAAGCTCGGTCCCTCTGAAACACAAGGGTGTTGTCTTCTAAAGCGTCCTGTATAGTACGATATCCTGTGAATATCGATCCATTTTTCCATTTAATATTATCACGTTACGAAATTATTACGTATTCGATTAATTCGATCGACGGAAAATTCTTGAAATATCTATCTTCGAGTTGAACGCGTTGAACGATCAAAAAAATAAGAAAAAATAATAATCGAAAGTATTTTTTTTTTACTATCGTATTTGTTTCGCTTGTTCGAATGCAACAATTTTTAATTAAATTCCATTTATTCTTTTCTTTTAGTTTTCAGCTCCGATTCTTTTCACGTATCTATTTAAATTCGCCTTCGTTCCATTTAAACGGCGTGGCCGAATGAAAAGTTTGAAAAAGGAAAATCGGAACGGAAAGTGGAGAGATATTTATTAAAACTAAGCATATCGAGTGGGAAGATTCGATAAAATCAATCATCCACTCGAATTTCGAAGTAAACTTTCTCTAGGACGTATTGCTTCTACCACAGGACGATTCACGTTCTCCGAGTGAATCTCCACGTTCTGTATCGACACACTGCTAAGAATTTGCACTCTATGGACACCGACCAATAAAATGCATCGCGTACAACATAAACATCTATTCTTCGAAATATATGTGCGATTAAATACATCGTAATTTATGCCTATGTGTTTCTATGGATAAGAATACACGCTCAATTATAATTGTGGAATAAACTTTAGCTTTTTAGCCCATGGTTACAAACAAACAAAGTTAAACAAAGTTCTTTTTCATGCGACTAATTCGCACATATCTTAATAATCTATGAATATATTTTTAGCCAGTAAATTCGTTATATTTAAAAAATTTTCTTTTTATTCCTGCGATTAAAATTTAGTTTAAAATCAAATAATTATTCTTAATATTGATAAAAAAAAGTTGAGTAAAGTAAATATTAAGTAAATATGAATGAATTATTTTCATATTCTCTCTCTTCTTTTTTTACTAATATTTCTTTTAACAACTTTTATTTTTGATTAATTAAAAATAAATTTTTTTCGTTATTTTAATTGCAATTAAATCTTTCCAATTTTTCTTTCGGATCGAAGGAAAAATATTCTAATGGTAATTTATACCAAAGAAACATATAGTAATAATAATAATGTTTATTTTATAATCATTCTTCTTTTCTTTCAAAAAAATCAAAGATCTTTGTTCCGATTTTTATATTTTTGCATTTTTGAATCAATTATGTTCTTCGTAATAACGTTTGTTGTTTTGCACGCAAATATTTGATTTATTATTTAAAATTGAAAACCTTCTTACGTTTTATTAAAATAATTAAAATAATTAAGATTTTCATCGTTTGTATTTTCCCGATCCTCGAGTTTCTAAAGATTCAAAGAACAAAATCGTCTTAACTCCTTCCATTAAGTTTATCGAAGTTCGTTTCATCCGTAACGAGCACAGATAGATATATAGTACATACCTAGCAATCTTAGAGATACTTTCTGCCAAAATTTACGTAAAATTTTTGCTTAAAATTATAAAATTTCAATTTCAGAACGATCGAGTCGATATCTTAACGTATATACAAGATATTTCTTTCTAATATATATGATTTTATTAGCGAAAAAATTATATATACCACATATATTCTTTCTAAAATACGTATAAAATGTATCATTTAACTCGATTATCTTAAACGATTCGTGAATCGTTTATCGCATAAGAAATTATTTTGTATACTTTTTATATTTTCAATTTTTCTTTTTTAATCCAAAGTTATCGAAATTTTCTCGAGTTTTCGAGTAAATAAATTTAAAGAAATTATCAAATATTTATAAGATACGAATACACTTTTCTTTATCGATCGTTCGAACAATTACGTTCGAATTATACGAATCATTGTGTAAGGAATAAAGGGATAAAGTTAACTGAATTGTCGAAGCATTATTAAGTGAGTACGTTTAATTTAAAAAGGATTATTGTAGCTAGTTAACGCGTGTTCGATTCCTAAAACCGCTTCGAGGATTTGTTACGCTAAGTAGGTATGTACGAATTGCGTAAAGGCGTTAGAGGGGCAAAGAGAGGCAATGTTGGCAAGAGGGTCGAAACCCGGTGTGCGCCAACAGATAAGCACTGATCCCAATTACACCGGTCGGATAGACCGGTTTCCAGTCTGAACGGATCATGGATTATTGACTCCATCTTGATTACCCGGCTCCCGTCAATACAATCGAGAAATCGATATACCTTAAATTTTGTGTATCGTGCTTCTTTTACATTTTTGTTTTTTTTAATAATACATAATTACATTATTAATTAGTATTCGAATTTCATCGGCAATGTGTGTGTTTATCGTTTGTACATGTTTTTTTAAGGATATGATCAGTTGCATCGACAAATAAATGTTATAAAAAGTATGTTATAAAAGAAATGAACGGTAATAGAGAAGGATTGATCGATTATCGAATATAATTTTTACAAAGAAAGGAGAATCGAAACGTATACCACGATGTACGTATAGAAAGCAATAAAATTGTAAAGTGAAATATATTTTCGAATAATTGTTAACGACAAAACGATCATTCGAGTAAGAAACTAGAAGCTTAATATTGCTTTTTAATAATGAAAGATTCCATCCACAAGTTTTTCGATTAAGAAATTATAATATTATATTTAGATAATACATATATTACGTAGATAAATGAAAGCGAGTGATACGATTCGCGTGATAGAATGACGCATTCGAGATAATGAAATTTCTTATATGTGATTTGTAATAAGCTATTATATTGTCACATTTTTTTTTTTTTTTGTGAAAATCTAATGGTTGATACGTAGTATGATTTTTCGCTTTAATATCGACCGATTCGTATTGCCCATGAAAGGAAGAGTAGAGTGCGAGTTGGATTCATGGATATCCACCAGCCATTGAGAAGATATTGGTCATCCGTTATCATGCCATTTTTCATCGCGTGCCACTAGCTCGTTTGCCTACTGGCACGGAGTTGAAAAACTGCTTTATACGTTTTACGTAGCTTTCCATGCTTTCATCTTCTTTTCGAGTTTGTAAATAACTTGGATTAACTAAAAATTAAAGATATTAGAATAATTTTGAAAATTATTCCGATTGACCCGAATATTATAATACGAAGATAATATAATATCGTTCAATGCCCATCTTTCGCAAACTAGTAAATACCAAGTTTTTTTCCGCCATATTGGCCAGAACGTTGTTGGTCATTGTCCAAGAGAAAATCCTCGTTCATCATCATTTTCCAATTATTTATGACGCTCTGTTTACCCTCGTAACTTTTAGTTCCCTAAGTTTTTCTCTCTGATATCAAAACACCATCTTTTCCATCTTCTTCTTTCTCGTATTATCATTGTGTGAAAAATTCTTTCGTCATTTTTCGATTTTTCGAAAACAATGTATATCAAATTATACGTAAATATATTGTAACGCGTATAAACGTTAAATCATCGTGTATTTTACATAACTTCGATCTCTAATTGTTCCCTTTTACGTTTCCATTCTTCTCGTGTTCGTTGTTTTACCTTTTAAACAAAAGTCGAGCGCAACATGGTTCTCCGGCGTAAACGATTTTCTAATCGATTAAAAGAAACAATACATAGGTTCGTTAAAAGAATTTCGAACGGTTTCAACTTAATTTACTTTTCTTCGAACGAACGACCGCGTTCGTTTTACCTTTGTAAGAAAATAAGTGAACCAGCTATGTAAACGTTATATTCTTTTATAAATAGAAATTCGATCGAATTTCTATCGAATTGCATCGCTAATTAAACAATCCTCGTTATTTCGTAAAAGTTTCTCGAACGTTTCGAATATTTATGAATAAAATTTACGGAGATTAGAGATTTTTCACGGGATAGAATAAAAATAAACGTTTTACCGTGATAAGTCTTATCGCGTGTCATTGCACTTTTAGTTTCGGATTTGTATCGATGCACACGTATTAACGTATCGATCGGATTTCAGTGTACAACGACCTCGTTTGAAATTTGTAAATTCTTAAAAAAAAAAAAAACTTTATCGAAGTTTTTTCCATCTTTTTATGCCAAAAATCAATGTAACTAAAAATACGAGCGTAAAAGAAAATTGACCATAAATTGATCGTTTTTAACGACGACGTAACACGTAAATAAATATTAGCACATTGTTATTATGGATTTTTGCATTGTTGGATCGAAGAATCGAAAATATAAAAATCGAATAGTAGATTCTGTAGTTGACGATACAAACTAACAAACGTATTTTCGTGTTTCTCTTGGGGCAAACCGCAATTTATTTCTTTTCCGATGTTTTCGATATTGCTTCGTTCTATAAAAAAAAAAAAAGAAAAAGAAAAAAACAAATATATTTCTGAGAGAAAGCACACGTTCGTTATGCATGGCATGAAACAAACAAGACAAAACGATCGAAATTTTTAATTTTTCGGTCAAATAAAATCGTTAAATGATCTTTTTCTTTCCTCTCGAATTTGTGAATTTGATAATTTGATAATTTCGAAAAATGCACATTTGATTCAAATTGAACGTAACGTGACGTGTTTAAATACATCTTATCTTTCTGTCTCGTATTTGTGGATGCTAACCTTGAAAGAGAAAATCACATACGAGGTGAAAGAGAAAACTTGGTTACTCCCAACAAGTTAAACTGTGGTACTTTGGGAACAGTTTCTAGGTATGAATTGGCCTCTTATTATGGATAATGTTCAACGAGTCGAAATTTCTTCGAGTTAATCTAGCGATTAAACAAATATCGCTTTTCTTTCAGTTTCCGTGTACTTTAATTACACCATTTGGAATTCACAACAAACTTAATCACGTATATAGATTATTTGTATTTAGAATTTACCATACGAAAAGAAAGCGTTAAAAATTATTCGATCCTTAAATAATAAGAGATGAAAAGATATTTTTCTTAATTATTAATAAAAAAGAATGAAATATTGTTATACTTATAAGAATTGGAGAATAGAGACAGATTATTATTT